ACACGCGTCTGCAATGTAAGAGGTCTGCTTTGCATCCCTTCAGAGTGTGTAAAGTAAACGTGAAACATTTTCAGATGTCACCCCCTGTCGTCCTTGGGGAATCCCTATGAAGGTAACCCTCTGACCGCCCTTGTCCTTTCAGCTGGTCATGTTTGTGCTACAACTGGGCAGTGCCACCTTCCTGCTGACGGAGCCTGTCATCAGCGCAATGACAACCGGGGCTGCCACCCACGTCGTGACTTCGCAAGTCAAGTATCTCTTGGGAATGAAAATGCCGTATATATCTGGACCACTTGGATTCTTTTACGTGAGTGGCCCATGTCTCTTCGCTCTTTTAATCCTGTGTGTGTTTCACAAAGTAGAATTTGTTGAATTACAATACTGAGAGTTTGTTGGACAAAAGAAATTTTGTTTGTAATGCAATCTTTTCAGCTATTTTAAAGGTGATTTTACATGTGAGGATAGTTTAGTGGAGAGAAATTTACTGATTTTAGAGCCTCTCTTTATTATGGACAATTGACTATGATGGTGGTAATACTTTCTTTCATAATAATATCAAAAGAGTCCCAAGAAGATGGATATAGGAAAAATCCCAAATCAACACTGGCAGGATGATTGTCTGCTCCGTCTTTGCCCCACTCCGCCCTGGAGTATGTCCCTCGTGCCTCTGAATTCTGTGAATTGCTGCCGTGTCACATGGAATTCACCAAAGGTGGAGGAGAGGCATCACTGGTTGGTGGATGCAGTTCAGTCCAAAGTCCGAAGGTCAGATGCTGGGGAGCCAGACGCTGGGGCCATCGGTTGTACTACACCTCTGGCTCTTGTCGGTAGTGAGCTCACATCCCTTGCTTCTCAGTTAACTCATTTTTTAATCAGTGAGATGGCATCTCAGGGAGTCCTGTTCACAATTAGGAAAATCCTATGCTTCTTCCCTCATCTCTTACCAGACCATGCAGGGAAAGGTTGTTTGGTGGGAGTTACCTGGTGCAATCAAATCCCACCCAAGTAAGCACCTGGGGCCTCTGGCAAGATGTTTTCAGTAGGCCAGCGGTTCTCAACCTGTGGGTCTTGACCCCTTTTAGGGTCGAACGGCCCTTGGCCCTTTCATAGGGGTCACCTGAGTCATAACAGTAGCAAAATGACAGTGATGAAGTAGCAACGCAAATAATTTTATGGTTGGGGGTCACCACAACATGAGGAACTGTATGAAAGGGTCGCGGCATTAGAAAGGTTGAGAACCACTGCGACAGGCCCTGACCTCTTGCTAATCTACGTCCACCAGGGTTTGACCAAGGCCACTTCCAGAGCAGTCTCTTTCTTCTCTCAGCTGTAGTAGATCCACTGTATGTCAAGTTAACTAAGGCAACCAGTAAGTAGAGGGTGGTCCGATTCACACCCTCTACTGAAGTCAGAGGTCAATCTCACCCCATTCCTGTTTGTTAGCAGATAATGCCCTCCACAAAGGCACCGCAGCCCCAGGTGTATGAGAACCAGAATTATATGTCACCTAAGGCAGGGGTTCTCAACCTTCCAGGTGCCGCGACCCTTTCACACAGGTCCTCATGTCGTGGTGACCCCCAACCATCAAATTATTTTCATTGCTACTTCATAACTGTCATTCTGCTACTGTTATGAATCAGACGACCCCTGTGAAAGGGTTGTTGGACCCCCAAAGGGGTCATGACCCCCAGATTGAGAACCGCTGACACGAGTGATTATGGCTGGGAAGAGCTGTATTACTGAAGTATAACTCATTGATGTAATATGGGCATTATCTGAAAGAATGGCTTGTATTTATTTATTTACTGTGAGGCAAATAGGTTTCCAGTTTCTATTGGGTGGTATCCACCTGATTTTGACCCATTTTAAGAATAGTTACTCTGCCACATTTTTTTTTTTTAGTATTGTAAACCTGGTGTGGGATCGAATCAGAGACTTGGTCAAATTATAATGGTAGCTCCAATCAGTCCTTATAACCCAACTTAACCTGAAAGAGGAATGTGTGGCCAGTTTCAACATGTTTTCCTAGAAACACTCCATTGTTCTTGGTCTCTTCTTGAAGTTGACCTAAAATCTTTATCTTTTCAGGAGTTTCTTTTGATGCTTTATTAAAACAAAAAAGCAAAAACTCACTGCCATTGAGTTGATGCTCACCCTACATGACAGAGTAGAACTGCCCCTTGGAGTTTCCAAGACTGTTAACTTTTTTTTTAATTATTAAATTAAAAGATTATTTTATCGGGGGCTCTTACAGCTCTTATAACAATCCATACATCAATTGTATCAAGCATATTTGTACATATGTTGTCATCATTATTTTCTAAACATTTGCTTTCTATTGAGCCCTTGGTATCAGCTCCTCATTTTTCCCCTTCCTCACCCTCCCCTCTCCTGGTGACCCCTGGATAAATTATAAATGTTTATTCTTTTCATATTGTATACATTGACTGCTGTCTCCCTTCCCCCATCGTTTCAGTTGTTCATCCCCCTGGGGTGCTGGTGTGGTGGTTGCTATGTGTCCATCATTACAATCAGTTCTCTCTTCCTCCCTTCTTCTCCCCACCTTCCCCCTGCCCTCCTGGTACTGCTTCTCCCATTCCTGTTCCTAGATTCCGTGTTTCATGTACTCTTATCTCTTAACTGGACTTGTGCACATGCTCTGGTCTAGTCCGCAGTGAAAGGCAGGACTGGGGTCATGATAGTGGATGATGAGGAAGCCTCAAGGAACCAGAGAAATATTTCATGTTTCATTGGTGCTATACTGCACCCTGGTTGACACATCCCTTCCTTGTGACCCTTTTGTAAGAGATGTCCCATTGTCTATAGATGGGTTTTGGGTCTCTGCTCCAAGCCCCCTCATTCTCAACAATATATTTTTTCATTTGTTTGTTTGGTTTGGGTCTTTTGATGCCTGTTACCTGATCCCATCGATACCTCATGATCGCACAGGATGGTGTACTTCTTCCATGTGGGCTTGTTGCTCCTCTGTAACTCTTTAAGGGAGTGGACAGTCCCGATTTTCTCCTGAGGAGCAGGTGATGGTTTTGAATTGCTGTTGTAACCATTATGCCACCAGGGCTCCTGATGCTTAATTAGAGAACAATTTTCTTATTAACTCCTTGAGGGCAACTCAACTTCATTTTATTTAACTTTTATGTATGACTATATATAAATAACACTGATGTATTTGATACTGCATACCTCAGCTGATATTGCATAATAACCAGAGTCCTTTCATCCTTAAAAAATCTTGAATTTTACCGGCTAAATAGTCATTCACACTTTCTTTTAGGCAACTTAACGCAAGACTAGTCCCAAGGAGGTGGCGGTAAATATGTTTCCATTATCTCATTCTTCCAAATTGTCCTATCACTCCATCATCTCTGACATCAACCACCACCCTCTCCCCTTAATATGCTTCCTTATTAAGGAAATATGATTTCTTACACCTCAGCATTCTGTAATCCACTGTAATAGCCAGAACTCATAACTTGAAGGAAAATAGTAGTTGTGGGTTCTGCTAAGTTCGGAGCATCCTCCCATCCCCAAGGCTGCTGGTGAAATCAGGTCAAGAGGTCCAGCGGGGAAGGGCAAACCAGATGCGCTTCTGAAGGATACTCTTCACTCCTGGCTATCTTTTGGGTCACCTGCTGGTGGTGTAGTGGTTACACATTGGGCCCTAACCATAAGGTCAGCAGTTTGAAACCACCAGCCACTCCTTAGGAAGATGATAGGGCTGTCTACAGTCTTGGAAACTCACAGGGGTATTTTACTGTGTTTTGTAGATCACTAAGAATTGGCATGGACTCAATGGGAGTGAGTTTTGTTTTGTTTGCTTCAGAAAATGCCTCATATTTTACCCAGCATGATGGAGATCACAGCTAAATTATAGCGTGCAATCAGTATTTTCTCCTACTTTATTACCCTGACTCAACAGGGAAAGGTTATATGGTGGGAATAACAGAAACTAATTATGACTAGAAGAGTCAAAAATAACTCACTGCACTGCAAATATATACACGACAAAAGCTTAGTTTTCTTCTTTTCTGTTATTAAGATTGTGTCTTTTGTTTCATAATTATAAAAGGCCTCCTGGGGGAAGTTCTTTATGTGTGTGATATTGTCTTCATGGCTGATTCTTTCATTAGAACAAATGTATAATAATGGAATTACTAGGTTAAAAATTTTGCCAAATTTCAACCTGGAAGAAATATATCAATGAAACAGTGGACCCTCACCTTATCTTTGCCAACTCTTGTTCTTACTGCATTTTACAATCACGACCTTAATATGGCTGTGTATGGCTCTCTGATTATTGGTGGTGTCATTAATACAGATGATCATTGCCAACACAGAACTGGAAGCTGGCTCTGAAATTTTGCAATGTAAGATAAAATGATATCCTACTCAGTGATTCATTTATTAGAAGGAAGCTTGAAAGCAAAACAGAAACACTGGAATGTAGGCAAAGAAACCGCGAAATTCGAAGTTCCGGCTCCACCAAAGGTGTGCCAAAGTAGCCTAGAGTTGTCAGTTGGCTGCCGAGACATTTTTTGATCACAAGTCTTCATAACTGAACTAAATAAGCAAAGATTCTGTTTTAGTGGCCTCTTTAGTGGCTGGGAACTGAGACTTCTCTGTGTTGAATAAATGGGGAAATGACTACAGGGTATAAGCTAGCTTCTTTGTTCAAATTCAAATACATGTATAATTACATCTCCTATCATTAGCAAGGTTAAACAATACTGGTGTGGCTGGTAGTGGAAGGCTGATGTGGAACCAAACTTTGGTAATTCAGGTGTGTTTCTCTGGTGACAATGTACAGAGAATGCTATTTTAACGTGTGTGTGTGTGTGTGTGTGTGTGTGTGTGTGTGTGCTGAAAAAAGTGATTCAATTACAAGGATCTACATGTGACCTCCTCCCTGGGGGATGGACAACATAAAAGTGGGTGAAGGGAGATGTCGGGCAGTGTAAGATATGGCAAAATAATAATTTATAAATCATCAAGGGTTCATGAGGGAAGGGGGAACAAGGAGGGAGGGGAAAAATGAGGATCTGATGCCAGGGGCTTAGGTGGAGAGCAAATGTTTTGAGAATGATGAGGGCAATGAATGTACAAATGTGCTTTACACAATTGATGTATATATGGATTGTGATAAGAGTTGAATGAGCCCCTGATAAAACGACTAAAAAATAAAAGAAAAAAGTGATTCGTGCAAGATTTTACACATGTTTTACACATGGCATCAAATAAAAACATACAGATGGTCATTGTCAACACAGACCAGGAAAGTGGTTCTAAAAC